TATTGTAATATATATATATATATATATATATATATATATATATATATATATATATATATATATATACACACCGTGTATATAAAAATGACTTTTTACAATTTTTTTATTACATTTCAAATAGTTATTTTATATTATTATTTTTATATAATTATTTTATATTTATTGTAGTTTATTGACTTTCCATATTTTTTCAGATTGCTTATCTCAAAGTTGCTTTGGATTTTGTGAAACGTGCTGAGGGGGAACCAAATCTTTTCCTCACATTTCAGTTGGATGCATTAGGTCGCCCTTTGCTGGAAGAAATCACGCTTAAATCGCTACGTGTAACGAATTGCAGCATGTTAGATAATCTCAATATATGCATTGAACTTTTGTCTAGGTCATCCTTAGCAGTCATGTCTCGCCAGTTATCACGCTATTTAACTGGTCCTTTAGCCAATCCATCAAATGAATTAAAGATGCAAGCTACAAGCGCACCCCTTCATGATATATGGGCAGAGAGAACGCTTGGCAAAGTAGATTCTTTGGTTAAAAGAATCTACTTTGAAAAATAAACTAGGCAAGGAATTTGAAGAAGGCAGAAATAAACTAGGCAAGGAATTTGAAAGGCAGAAATAAACTAGGTAAGGAAAAGGAAAACTAAGTACTTTTCTGGTAGCTTATTGGAAAACAAATGAACTTGAGGAGGATGCAGAGGATTTTAAACTAAATTTAAATATTATCTTGACAGACATGGTTTTGGGAGATTTGGTTTTTAGTTGACTTGTTATTTTGAATTTAACATATAATATTTATTTTATAAAGCTTCTAATTTGTTAAGTCATTATTTATTTCAAAAAATACATTTTTCATGTTTGTTTTTTTCGTCAATCTTCCTTTCCTCCTTTTTGCTAGGATGGGGGGGGGGGGGGGGGGGGGGGAGGGGAGGGGAGTATGCAGAACCCCCTCCCCCTTTTTTTTAATTGTATTTTACTCCCGCATTGAGTTAACATTAAAATTATTGGTTTATTTGAAAAAAACAATTTGTAATTTTTTTCAACCCCCCTGTCTGTCATATGTGATTCCTCCACCCCTGGCTTCCTATGTGATATTTTATGAAAAACTCCTTGAATACTTGCATTTTATGTTAGAAATATTACTAATGCTCTTAATTTCATAAAGTTATTAAAGTTTAAAAAATTTTGATTAAAAAAAATAGCAGAATTTTCATATATATTTTTGTCATCATTTTCAATGGTTTTACATTCCATCAATTTTTTTCTACTTATCATAAATTAACATGTTTGGTACCATTTTAAAGAGAATTTGAAACTCTATCTAATTATTGTGGTTTAATAGTTTTTCAGAAAACTTGAAAAAAAAAGTGCCTATCTAAATATTGCTCTTGAGAAGATGATGAGAAAGCATTAAATTTCTTATTGATTGCCATAGCATTTTTTTTAGGTCATCGTTTTCTGTAATGGTCATTTACTTATAACAGTTCACGTAAAGATTTAAATTGTAATATTTAATTATTTGTTTTTAGTATATTCCATAAGCAAAGTTTATCGGTACATGTTGGTTTTGTTATTTCAGTTGAGACTGCTGCTTCTGCTCTAAAAATCAAAGCTACATCATAATTGTAGTTTCCAGGAAAGCCTGCTGTACATGAGCATTTGCTCATGTACAGCATAAACATAACATACTAAAACATATATTAAATTCTACAGTTTGATTCTTATTTAAGAACTGCATTTCGTCAACCTCTTCTTAATTTCTGATCTTTCGCATCTATATCCGTTAAAAACAATTTTTATATAATTTCAAATATACGTCGTTCAACATGCCAGCACAGTCGAGCGGTTAGCGCGCTGGGCTTCTGAACAAGAGAGCTGTGGTTTAAGTCGTACTATTTTTTTTAAATTTTTTTAGATTTTTTAAATACAAAATTTAATTCTTTTAAAATTTTACAGATATTGTATGTAGAAAACTTAAGTAAAGATATTAATCAAAAGTTTAATCCGCGCTTATCACTTTGACACAGAACTGACTTTGCTAACGAGAAAAAAAAAAAAAAAAGTTCACAAATTTCAAAATTTTGTTTTTTCGTAAAGTCCTTAAAGACTTAATTTCCAACTATTTCGACATATTCCAAGTCTCTCAGAGAAAAAACTTTGTTGATCAAACAAACAAAAAAAGAAATTCAGCTTTTTTGTCTGTGATGAATATCGCCAGAGTACAAAGCGCCAACCGAGGTTACGCCAATTGAGTTTTACTTTCACGCGGTTTTAATCCACCACGAGGCTTAGTTAAATGCCTATAAAAAAATAAAAATTTAAGGCTTAAAAAAAAGAGTTTTTTACAATTATTTTTTTACATCTTTTTTTTTTAAAGTTATTATAAAACCACATTTTTTTAAAGTTATTAGTATTTTTTTTAATTTTAAATACTGAGCATTTTTTCATTTTTAGTGGTGCAACCACAACCTAGTAAAAACTTTTTCTATGCTTTTTAATAGCCCCTCAAACCTACAAAAAACCCTATTTTGTATTTGTTGTGCCATTGATACCAATTTTATTTCTTTTACTTAATAACTTATTTTAATGTTTTTTTTTAAGCAAAAACACAACGACAACCACATACTGGTAAGAAAGAAAACTTTTGTTTTAATTTATTTATACCTTATTTAAAACAGAACATAATTCTTTTTCATTACTAATAGATTTTTTTAAATCTGTGTTTATATTTTTACTAGAACCGCAACAACAACCACAATCAGGTTAGACTTTTTTTTCAATGTATTTTTAAGTCTCATTTGAAAAATTTTTAAAAAGATTTCAATTAAAAAAAATGTAATTAAGTGTGTTTATTTTAATTATTTAAATACTTCAAATTTTTGAATTTGTAGTGCAAAAACAACCTGGTAAAAAATTATTTTCATACGTTTATAAATAATCTATTTTATAAAAAACCTATTTTTATTAGTTGTGCTGTTGATATCAATTTGTTTTTGTTTTGCTTAAATATTATTTATTATCTCTTTTTACATTCTAACTAGAAACGCAACAACTACAACCACAATATGGTTAGAAAGAAACCTTTTTTTTTATTGTATGCAAATCTGTTTTTAAAAGTTGTTAATATTTTGAGTTTTTCTATTTCTTTACTATTGACTTTTTTATAAACCTGCATTAATTTTTTAGTACAACCACAACAACCACAATTAGATGTAAAAAACTCAATTTATTGTTTGGGCGTTTTGTTTAAATAAAAAAACTGCTCAAAAAAAGCAAAAAAGGTAGTTTTAACGCGTATGCCTCCTAATCTAAAAACTATGATTTGATAATGAGCTGAAGCACGCAGATAAAGTGCGCATCGATATTCTATTGAAGAGAAATAATGAAGTCATAATAATGATAATGTAGCTAAAGTGTTATGATTTAATAAAAGAATATATGTGCATAAATAAACTGCAAACAACAACAACTTTAAACACGTTAAAAAAAACTTTAATTATCCTTAAATGATTTTTTCTTTAACGTCACTAGTTTTGGAATAGCTATAATAAAACCATACAGTGTAATTTAAAATAGGTTTGCTTTATACCTCAAAAATGTATATTTGGACCTCTGACCTATCTAAATTTTGACCAAACATCATGACCGGAAAACTTTATAAGCAATAAAATTGAGCCCTTCAAATAGCGTGGGCCCTCACTACTTTTGCTAAATAGTTAAATTAAAACTTATACTCTAAAGTAAAATCTAAAACCATAAAGAACTGATAAAAAAAAAGTCATCGGGTTTTGATTCAAATTTTCGGAATGCAATACTTGACTGGGCTAATAAGTCTGAATATGCAAAGATTGTTTTGATTTTCTGGTTAATTGGGAAAAAATTTGTTGTTTAGGAGTTCTGTAAAATATAATAATAAAAATAAAATATCACCGCTCTAGTGGAAATAATGAAAAGGAGGATGCTTTCATAGTAATAGATCTTAGTAGAGTACCGAGTATGTCCGAATAACACAAGAACGTTCAAAAAAAGTTTTTAATTAACAAACTGGATTTACTATGTTGTTTTTTAACAAAATACATGGGTTTTGTGACATTCTAAACATATTGTAGAGAATTTATTAATTTTATTAAGGTGATGTGATATTTAAACATTCTTAGCACTATCTAGTATGTTGCTTTTTAACAAAACACATATGTGATTTGATATTCTAAGCATATAATAGTGTATTTCTAAATTTTGTTAAGGTTATGTGGTATTCTAACATTTTAAGCACTATCTAGTATATTGTTTTTTAACAAATTACATGGGTGATGTGATATTCTAAACATATAATAGTGTATTTCTAAACTATATTAACGTGATGTGAGATATATGTGATATAAATATAGATATATTTATATATATATATATATATATATATATATATATATATATATATATATATACATATATAGACACACATATAAACATATATATATATATATATATATATATATATATATATATATATATATATATATATATATATATATATATATATATATATATATATATATATATATACATATATAGACACACATATAAACATATATATATATATATATATATATATATATATATGTGTGTATATATATATTAATGTATATATATACATATATATATATATATATATATATATATATATATATATATATATATATATATATATATATATATATATATATATATATATATATATGTATATATACATATATATATATATATATATATATATATTTATATATATATATATATATATATATATATAAATATATATATATATGTATATATATATGTATATATTTATATATATATATATACACATATATATATATATATATATATATATATATATATATATATATATATATATATTTATATATATATGATATTCTAACATTCTTAGCACTATCTTCTATTCTACATAACTTCTTTTCTTTATGATGTTCGCATTGCTCGTTTTATTTGCAATGCCTAAAGTTCTTTGGATTTAGGAAGTTTATTTTTAATTCTTCTTTTTTCCCCCATGATTTTAGGTTCTTTATCTTCCTAGTTGTAGAATCACAATAAATGCTGTCAGTTTTAATGTGAATAAAATGTCAATGCCAGGAAGTGCATCTGGTTGCAAAAAATAACTCCAACTCTTCTAACTTCATTTATTTTAAAAAGTAATGTACAAGGTTTTTTAGTTTTTATATATTCCATAAAAGTAATACAAATTTTTACAAACTTTATTAAAGTTCTTTTGTTAATTTTTTTTGAGTTATTCTAATTTTCTACATCTAATTGTATTTAGTTTTTGGTATTAGTTCTTTGGAGGCTGATATCAGGTAAAAGTCTACTTTGCCTTTATCAAAGTTATTATAATATATAAACCAATTTATTACTACAAAGCATTACAAAATATACAAAATTATATAAAAATGATTTTCTTTTGCTTGAAGAGTTTTTAGCTATGAACTAGGCCTAAAGTAAAAGTGTAGTTGTAGTTAATAAAATCAATCAAATATTTTATCATGTCAAATAAATATTTCATACTAAGTTTATGTTTATTGTAATTTATTATTATACTGATATAAATGTTGGAACAAATCTGTTCCAAAAATAAATAATCTACAATAATAATAACAATAATAATTAGTCATAATGTGTTTGAGCATATGAAAAAGAACCAACTTTGTATTAAAAAATTGAAAAAAAACCCTGCTTAACACAACAAATTCAAAATCAAACTTTAGTTTATCTTTGCAGTACAAAGAATTTAAATGTTTTAGATTGAAAAATAGTTTCGACTTTTATGAGTTAGAGAGATATCTCTGCATAACTATTTTAAACAATTTTTGGAGAGATTTCTCTGCATAACTATTTTAAACAATTTTTAACAAAATTTAATAAAAATGCGCTTCCTCTACTTGATGTATTATTCTTTATTTTTTTATAATATACGTATTGGAGTTATCAAATGAAGTCATAACAATGATAATAAAACTTAATTGTTTTGATTTAATAAAAGATATATGTGCGTAAATAATATCTTCAAAATTTTATACTAATAAATTTTAACATACTTTTAAAGATAAATGTTTCCACGCCAAAACGATTTGTTTTCGGTTTCATAGGCTATGCACTCGACATGATACCATCTATTTGGAATGCAAATATCACACTTTATCTATATAAAAACATGGTTTTTATAATAAGTACTTTTCTAATCGAAACATAGACGATATTTCGTCTGACTTTTTTTTCCCGTGAAGTTTGGAAATTCAGACGAGAAAACTTAGCTAAAAAAAAATAAATTAACAATGGCGAAAAAAATATATGCTTAGCAAGTATAAGAACGGGGGTAGTAAACATTTTAAAAGCCCGTATTTTTTATTCAAAGCGAAACGTTATCATCATTATTAAATAACTTTTCTTTTGTTAACAGACGTAAATATAATAATAAATTCATTTTGTTCTTAATCATTAGTAGTGGTCAAAGAGCTTTAAATACATCATTGTATCTTGTATTAGTATTAGTATCCTAGTATTAGTATCCTATTTATAGGATTTAGTATATGAAATGGAGGAAAAGTTGTTTGATTTTCAATGCTAATATCACGATAATTCACTGCTTCAAAAAGTAGAAGTTTTAACATCACTACAAAAACGCTCACAATCTCTGAGGTTTTTTTTTATCTCCAGGCTCATTAAACGTGTGTATTATATGTCTTCTTGATATTAAACTTAAGTATTCATCCTATCAAGATGGTTCTATGAAAATTAATTTATGGGACAATAAGAGAAAAATAACAGGCTGGCCTAAATATAAAAAAATTAATAAATGAAAAGCTAATTAATTCAAAAAACTCTCATTGTATTTGTAAAACATGCTATACAAGTGTAAAAAGAACATTAACAAAAACACAAAAAATATTAGTGCAATCTCAAGAGGTTGCAAAATTCTTAAAGAAAGCTCTCAAAGAACATTGATATCTATACCAACAGCAGAAGTAACAGATAGTAAATTGGTTTTAAACAAGCAAATAAAACTTGATCAAGAAACTATAGAGGTTGTTTATATTTTTTATTAGTTTTATTTTCATCATTAAAATGTAAATAAAAAGGTTTAATTAAATTTTCGCTTATCTTAAAATGATAAAGGATAATTATGTGTAAAGGTTTAATTAAACCTTTACAAGTATATGAATACCGCCCTTAATTAAGGGCGGTATATATATATACGTGTACATATACTTAATTAAGGGCGGTATACATATACGTGTTGCCAAAAACCCCTAAACAGCCATATACATATTTTAGGTTTTTAAAAAAATAAGATAACTGCACTGTAATATTTATAAAATTAAAAGTTTTTTCTCTTTTTTTTTTCTTTCTATATTTTTTATTATTGTAATATACTGAGTAAATAGAAATAAGTATTCAAAAAAAAACATCAAGTTTTAGTAAATAGAAACAAGTATTCAGAAAAAAATCAAGTTTTTGTTACAAATATTTTAGTCAGAGTACCTAATAATTTTTTTATTTAGTTATGAAAATAAATAGACAGTTTTTTACTTCTATCATGGTTTAACAGTTAAACACTAAGGATCTTTTATTGAATGAAAATATTTTTTTTTGAATAAAAGTTGTGAAAATACATTATGAAATGTTTTATTCATCTGTAAATGTTTATAAAGTTATTAAAACAAGTCTTTTGGAATCTAATAATTTTCCATTCTAGCCCAAAAAGTAGCTAATTATTTTTATTTTTTTACTTTAGATTTTGTTAACAAGTCCTTCGAATCCATAAGTAAATAAATTTAATGTTCATTTAAATAAAAAAAGACTTTATATCTGCCATTAAAGGAAATGTTGCTCTGATTTTTAATGCAATAAAAGAACTTGATCCAGCAGCATTTAATATTAATTAACTATATCAACACAACAGTTTCTTTTGAAGTAGACACTTTACGTAATAACCAATCTTCTTCATTTAAACTACCTGATATTAATAATGCTTATAAAATTTCATATCAAATCCAATATAGTGAGTTATGTGAAAAACTTCTTTGTTAAAAGAAATGGCAACGTCATGTGCAAGAAATGTGAGATCTATCAAAAGAAACACAAGGAAAAAAATCGAAACCTGTATACCTGCTATTACAAATGCTATTAGCTGTTTACTAATGTATCATAATCAACAAATGAATGCTAATGTCATTGTTAATTCTTTAGTTCTTCAGAGAGGAAAAGTTGACAAAATGACTTTTAACAGGCTTCAATCTTTAAATATTTGCTTATCACATACATCAGTCTTGAAAAAACATGTAATGTTGGGGGAAAATTGTTATCTACCAATTCATAAGCTGGCTTGTGAATTGGAATACAGTGCAATAAGTTTAGTATCAAAAATATCTTCTGCTCTGAACCAAGAATGTGAAGATATTCCAATTGAGTATATATATATATATATATATATATATATATATATATATATATATATATATATATATATATATATATATATATATATATATATATATATATATATATATATATTTATATATATATATATATATATATATATATATATATATAAATAAAAATCCTCTAGTTAAAGAATTGGAAAAGGTAAAGTCGTTAAATTTGCAGATTGACATTTCGCGATGCAGATTGACATACCTGATTCACTTATTGCTCTAAAAGCACCTTCAATTGAGGTGAGAAATATTTCCCAAAGTCTAATTCTTCAAACAACTGAAGATGAAAATGAATTAAAACATAAATTAAAACATTGACATATTATGGAAATGAATTAAAACATTGACATTAATAGTTACAAATCATGGGTTTACAAGAAGTTTGAAGATTTTAATAACATGAATATTTATACCATAGATAATCTAGTAACAGGGATGTAGCTTTATGACTATTTTAATTTTTCACATATTTTTTATGATGTAGTTTTCCTTACATAAATATTTGTCCTAATATTTTATCAAATGTAGTTCTTGTATCAACATATGGAATTATATATTGTAAATTAACGAGTCTTATTTTATAATTTTAATTGGAATATAAATGCTCAAGTTTTTTTAGCAGTTTTATTGTATTGTTAGTAGCAAACTATCATCTTTAAGAAGCTACTTTAGGGCTCCCATAAAAGTCATTGCTTGTGAGTTTTTATTATTTAAACACTTTTCAATATTACAGTAGCTCCTACTGTTTTTAATAAATGTTGGTGATTTAACAATTTAATTTTTTATTAGGTCGTAATGCTAAAACTTTATAAAATCTGTGAAATTAATCTGTTTTCCCTTTGCGATTGCGAGCGTAAAGAGAAATTTAATCAGAAGATATTAGTTAGTAAAATTAATCAGTAGTTATTAGTGTGGACTTTCATATCAGTAGTTATTAGTGTGGAGTTGTTTTACCATCTTTGCCGCCTCAAAACCAATATTTAAGTGTGTTACCCCTCCCCCAATTAGTGCCGGACCTGTCCACAGCGTAAAAATGACTATAAAAAGGTCATCATTTTCATGTTGTCTCTCCTTCAGAGATCTTTTGTGTATTCTATACCATAAAAATGGCTTTAAAAAAAGTTTAGCTATTAAGATAAAAAGGGGGAAACGTAATATTTTATTTGGCAGAACCACCTATTGACAACCACCACTTTTTGGAGGTAGAATTTTTAAGTTTAACGATTCGTAATAATTTAAATTTCAAATGGAAAAATATGTTATGATTGTTTTAATATATTATGATTGTATTAGTATTAAGATTATATTAAATTGTTATAATAAAAAGAGATAAATTAATTTTTAAAATTTTAAACCTTTTTTCAATATAAAATAATAAAGTACAAATACATCAAAGTACAAAAAAGTACAAATACATCATCAAAATACATGTCTATAAAAATTATCATCAGATGATTCCGTTGAAATGTTTGCATGCAAATCGTCTGTAATATCTGATAAAGTGCTACTATTGCTGTTTTCAGTGGATAAACTACTGCCACTACATTTTAATAAAACCTCTTGGTTGTATTCTGTAAATATATTAAAAACTGCTTTTAAAATTAAACCAAATATATCTTCGTTAAAAATACAGGTCTTTTCTTTTAAATCCTTTTTTTTCATTCCAAAGTATGATATATCAATAACTTGCGCAATAGTAGATATTGGAAATCCTGATGAGATATCAGGACCACAAAGGGTATTCTTTTTTCCAACATGTGCAGTGCGAATTTTTAATAGTTGTTTTTGTAGCAACTCTTTATATTTAAAATTAAGTACTGTTTGCAAATTTACTGGCTTTAAAACTTTTTTTGGTAATACAGTATTTTACCAGTTTGTTTTTAATAACTACTGCAACATAAGCATATTCTTTCACAGACGTCACAGCAATCATGATTTGGGTCAATCTTATGTTCCGTAGCAGAAAACTCACTTGACAGCATTGACCTGCGACAGTTCTTTGTTATTAAAATATGTTTTTACAGCAAAGCTAATGTTTTTAAAAGCAAGACACCTTGGGTAAACTAACAGGTTTGCGTTACTCTGTAGGCCATCTCTACCAACCCTCCCAGATTCTTGAAAGTAGTCATCAATGCTAGAAGGTGGTCCATAATGGATTACGGCATGAAGACCTTTGCAGTCTAATCCCATTCCAAAGGCAATAGTTGCAACCAAAAATCGAACAGTGCCATCTTCAATTGCAAACTGGGATAAAATATGGTTTTTAACAATATCATCTGTTTTAAAATGAAATTGACCATATGGTCTATCAAGATAACTTTTATATTTTTCTTCTAGTTCTTTGTGAAAGTACCGATATATAGATCTTACATCATTCATATTTGTAGAAAAGACTAAAATTCTTTTAGCTTTATAAGTATTTAGAATGATGTCTTGTATAACTGGATAAAAAAACTTCTCTGAGTCTCTTGGGTCAATATGTACTAGGCTGTACTTAATATTTCTTTTCTCTGGTGAAGATGATAAAATGACCAAATTATACATACAAAAATTGTCAATAATGAATTCAGAAGTGCTTTTGGTTGCAGTTGCAGTCAATGCCAAAACTGGAATTCTTTTAGGAACGAGAGATCGCAATTCTGAGAGTATATTATAATGTGACCGAAATGCATCTGATTGTGAACTTGAACTTCCCCTATAACAAAAATAGGCACATGGTATAAATAAAATTGTTCAAATCATGTTGGTTAATAATGGTAATGCTTTATATTTTTCCTAAATTGTTAAATTTTATGCATTACATTAAAGGGCTAAAATTAAAATTGTAAATATAAACATTTAACTTATGTAGCAAATTTATTTTTATAACAAAATCACTTACCACTTTTTCACACAATGGCTTTCATCAACTGCAATAACAACGAGCTTCTGATTAAAAGTTGCATCCTTGACAATTGACCTATAAGTTGTTATAATGGCTTCAGGTGAACAAAATATTACATTTGCCTCATTATAACTTATCTAAAAATAAAATACTAACTTTTAAATAATAAACAGCACTCCGCAACTCAAAAAATAAATTAACATGCCAATATCAGAATAATGTTATTTCAAACATTAAATATCAGAATAACAATATTTTATAATAAATGCTAAATGCATTTATTATAATTATCTCAATAAGTGTTTAATTACTTTGCAAAAAAAAAAAAAAAAAATTGTACATGTTATGTTGTCTACAGAAATTTGAAATCAAAATTCTACACTTTATGAATGACATTTTAGGAAAATTTATATTTTTGAAGGTAAATCCTTCTTTTTGAAGGTAAACACCTTTAAAAGCAAAACTTTAAATTTTCTCTAGGAATAGAACATTTTATGTATTGACTATAATAACAATAAGAAGAAGAATAGGAATAACAATAAAAATAATAGTAGTAACTACCTTTTTTCGAGAATCTTCTACACCTTTTCTTTCTTGATTATGCTCCATAGAAGCTACTTTAGTTCCAATTTTGTAAGAATGTTTTCTTGGTCTTTCATTAAACTTGAAAGTGGAGAAACAACTAAAATTTTGTTATTGCACATCTCAAGTACTTACTTGTGCCGAATACTATCAGGATATTTTCCTTCTCTTAACAAGTTTAAAGTAAAGATAAAAAAGGGTAAACACTGGAACACGATAGAATTTCCACTGCCTGTTGGTTGGCAAACAAAACAGTCAATGTTATTGCTAAGAGCTATTAAAGCTTTCTTTTGATAGTCTTATAAAGATTTAATAGAAAATAAATCACAAACAATTTTGAAAGCGTACTCTAAATTTTTCCTTTCGCTTGTCATGCCGCCTCTCTGTATATCACTGAAAATCTATTTGAACTGAATATTTGCGCATTTTTAAAATAAAACCCCCCAAAACTTTACGATATTTCATTAAGATCAAAGCAAAGCCGCAGGAACATATTTGTTCCGGTAGATTATAAATTGCATTAGCACAAAAAAAAAAATTCAGACGAAATATCGTCTAATCAAAACTTAATAATAAAACATTAGTTGAATAAAGATTTTATTACCCATTTATCTAACTTCTGTTTTTTTCTTGTTTTTAAATCTTTTATGTTTCCACAAATGCAGCACACTGTATCGTGCCAGTATTTTTCACCTAATTATTTAAGCCTGAATAATTTAATGTTTCGTTCATTTTTAGTCTTTTGCAAAGTGGTGTAAATATTAGTATAACCAAACCTCCTTTATCTAAAAGCAAATGTACCACTCTTTTTCTATAGTTATTCACTTCTTCAACTGGGAAACAATGTACCGCCCTTCCCCTTTTATAACATTTTCAGCAAACTACACAATAAGGGTTTTATGATATATTTTGAATTTTTTTTTTCATAATGCATATACTTTTAAAGAATCTTTATTTGCATGATTTCAAAAGATGTCTATAAAGTACATACAGTTTTGTAAGGAGACATGTTTCTCCATAAACCTGATTGTTTTTAATAAAAGATCTGATCGTTTGAAAAAACTTGATTGTTTTTAATAAAAACTCCGTAAACCTGATTGTTTTTAATAAAAGAATCTGTATTTTTCCTCTGCCATTTACTTGTCTGTCTGTCTCTAAATGCCATTCGACCTTGATTTAATTTTTTTTTTTGTAATTCACTCCCCAAGACCAAGAAGGCCGCTACAAATGAGGAGGGTACTTAAGGTCATAACTTAATGTCATAGCCCTCTCTCTACTTTATAACTCCGAAACACGAACAAGGACGCTGCACGTGGAAACAAGTTGAGCGCGGTATTACCAGGGACATGCACAGTGGGCCAGAATTCACTTTTATTGGACAAACTTCATAACTAATTTAATATTAGGGCTATAATCACTAAAATTAGCACGAGTACTAATATGATGTCTGCCCCTTTTATTAAGGAGGTATTTTTTTATTTCGTTGCTATGGATACCTTTAATTTGCTTAGCTACAACCTATTTTTGGGATTTCCAGATATTTCACGAGTGCTATATTTACTAAAATTAGCATGGGTAATATGATGTCTGCACTTTTTATGAAGGTGTTTTTTTTTATTTTGTTGCTATGGATACCTTTATTTAGCTAAGCAACAACCTATTTTTGGGATTTGCAGATATTTTACGAGTGCTATATTCACTCAATTTGGCGTGAGTACTAATAATAAATGAGTGCATTTTTTATAAAGATGCTATTTTTTTATTTTGTTGCTATGGATAACTATATTGCTTAGTTACAATAGGGTAAACAAAATGTCGCTATAACATCGTTAATTTGTAGCAATAAAAATATAGTAAACAGATTAGCAAAAAGAATGTTAACAGAAACACAATTCAAGTAACATTGCAGTAAAAATGTAATAGTATAATATATTTATACAAAATCTTTAAGTGGTACTTCTTTTAGTAGCTCTAGCACTCCATCTGGAAAGTCTTTCTTATTTGGATGATGTGGTGTTCTTAAATTACTAATAATTGGATCAGATGAACACATCAATCTCCTTAATAAGTCTTCATTTGTTTTACGGGAGCACTTTCTTGAAAAAGACTCCCGGAACTTCTTAAAGTCCTTGTTACGTGCTTCTTGTGCCTCTTCACTAAGCATGCCAATTGGCAAAGCCATTCGATCTACAACTTGCCAACCATGAATAAGAATTCGGTGCAGGCTGTGTGGCATTTGGTACCATAGATACTGGTTCACATATCGTTCAGCTGTTTGCATGTAGAAGTCTCTAAATCGATAAGAATCACTTACATATTGTGGCGATGACATCCAGTTGGAGAATTTCAGCAGTCTTCTCTGCATTTTGATAATATCGTCGAGCAGTATTGGCAGTGTTTGAAGATCCTGAACCACAAGTCCTTGGAAAATCAATTAAAAGCCCAACTTCATCACGAAGTTTCTTTTGAATTGATGTCTTTCTATCTTGAATTTTTTTTTTCTGATGGTTCTTGTGTTGACCATTTCTGTATTGTTAATTTGTAGCTTATTTTGAGAAAGCATTCTATTATTATGATCCATGCATGGAGAGTTGAAAGCCCATAATTGAGTCCAGTTTTAGTAATTGGGAGATTTGTTGCTGTGGATAGTGCAGTGGCAACTTTTCCATCCACCATTGTAATTTCAATTTTGTGCAGAACTGTTAATTTGTCATACTTTGTAGTAAATAGTTTTTCTATTGAGTTGTAAAGGAATTGTTCTTCTTCTTTTAATACATCTGATGTTTCTTTTTTATAGGAGAATCTTATTGGTCTGCAAAATAAAGTGGATGAAGGTTGGACCAAATAATCTTCTTTTCGCCATTACAATATCCAGATAACTGCAAAGACACAAAGCAAGTGAGGAATAAGCTGGATTCATTTGTAATATTTCTGTTTTCTTCTTCTGTTGTTATTTGAGTATAAAGGCTTTGGCCAGTTGATCCATCAAAGCCAACTTTGGACCTTGTACCCATTCGTTAAAGATCTTCTAAGGAGATTATAACTTCTGCCTGACATTCTATTAAACGTAGTGCTGTATAATTGACCAATGCTTGCATGTTGACCTCTGCAGAATAGTCAGTGACAGTCCATAGGTTATTCTCTGGAAGACAAAGTACTTTTGCTTCCCGTACATTATTATAAGCTGGATATAAATTACAGCCTTTTCTTACAGCATCCTTAGGCGCTGTTCCTTAGGCGCTGATAATCAGACTTGCTCAGATTATTATCTAAGATGAGTGCTAAGGCTTCATTGGGAATATTTAGAACATGTTCATCAGTTTGAGTTTTTGATAAATTTCTAACTACCTTAGCATGTTTTCTCCTTCATTGTTTCCAAAGTTTGCAACTGCTAGCAAACAACAGCTCGTTTGAAGAACTTGCCAATGATTCAAGTTTTGACACTTTCCTCTTTTTAGATTTATCAGATGATTTTTCAAATGATTTACGAGGCCTGCCAAGAGAAAATTTAGGTGTAGTTTCTGTATTGCATATAGAAATGGTTTGTTGGGGACTAATAAAGTCTTTGCAAAACCAGGCTAAATTTTTATCCAAAAATATATCATTGTAACGTCCACCTGCAGCCCATCGTATTCAAAAGTATATTCTGTATTCAAAAGTAAGTTCTGAAAATTGAACCTTACATTTAGAATTGCCAAGTTGTTCACTAATAAAATTAAAAACTACCAGCTTATCTTTTTCATTTGATAATGATAATTTGTTTTCTCTTATAAATAAATCGATTTGTTTTCTATTAATGCTTGACATAACCAAAACTATAATTAAATAGTCTTATTTTTGAATCAAAATATTCATTATATTATAACATATTGTATTATTTTGTTCGCGATGTTTTATATACAATATCAGGGGTGGATCCAGCATTTTTTGGTGTTTGAGATAGCTAACTTCCAGACATGTAGCTAACTCCAAACATTTATATGTTTATACTTATGTCAAATAAGGATGGTTTGCAAAAAATTGCGATGATTGGAGCCTGGGAACAAAAAAGCCCCAAAATTTGAGACGTACCTGTCCCAAACGTGAGAGCAACAAGTTGATAAAATATGTTTTGTACTATTCTCAACAAGACTTATATTTATCAATAAATTTTAAATTTCATAGTAAAATATTTTAGCGCTCAAAAATTATGACCATATAAAAATCTAACCCTCTCAAATTGAGGGGGATTCAAACTTTACATGGTCATAATTTTTGAACGCTAAAATATTTTACAATTAAATTTAAAATTTATGGATAAATATAAGTCTTGTTGAGAATAGTACAAAAAATATTTTATCAACTTGTTGCTCTCACGTTTGGGCAGGTACGTCTCAAATTTTAGGGCTTTTTTGTTCCCAGACTACAATCATCGCAATTTTTTGCAAACCATTCTTATTTGATATAAGTATAAATATATAAATGTTTGGAGTTTGCTACATGTCTGGAAGATTAGTTATCTGCAACACCAAAAAATGCTGGATCCGCCCCTGGTATATAAATTATATACGAATAATATATATATATATATATATATATATATATATATATATATATATGTATATATATATATATATATATATACCAGTAATAATAAAATTATACTAGCAGTAAGCAAACGGGTTAAAAATAAACCATTAGTAACAACATAACTTACTACGTTTTCTAAAAAAATATATCTAAATACAAATTTATCTGTAAATAATTTTACAGATAAATTTGTATTTAAAGTTCGGCTTCCTATTAGCAATGTCATTGCTTATAGTTATAATTATTTTATAAAACAGCAAACAACGCGTAAAATATTTTTATAGACGGTCATTATCAATAGTGTTAAGAAGTACGCAAGAGCTCCGTACTTATTCAGGTTTTATCTCGCTTTATTAATTCTTATTTAAGTGAGACTAAGACAGTGTTTCCAAGGCACCGTGTTAAAAAAAGACATAATAATTAACTTAAGGGAGTTTCTGTTAAATATGACAAAAACTATTTTTTTTGGATATATATTTTTTTTAGAGTGAAGGCGTTTTTATTATCATTTAGTTGAAATTTTCCTTAACATCTTTAAATTTTTTGGAGCAGTTAAAAAATTTTATTATAATACTTATATAAATGTTAACTTCTAATGTCTAACGGGACACTTATTAATTTTTTGGTAACCCCCTCTCCTTTATTAAGGAATTCTATTTAACTTAAAAGCGTTTAATGTGCGCATAATTAAATTTTAGTTAATTACATAAACGTCTCTCCGTCATAGATGAAAAATGCATTTTAAACAAAAATTTTCAAATATTTCATGCTTCTAAAATCCGACCCTTCCGTTTATTACAAAATCACAAATTTATTTAATAATATTTTTTTTCACAAAACTTTATTATTTATTAACAAAACATAATTATTATTTGTGTTCTCCTGTATCGCATAAATACGTCACATGGTGTTTAAAAGAAAAATGTAATAGATAAGTAAATATAATAGAAAAGAAAAACATTTTTAAAACAGGAAAACAATTAACCTGTTTTTGGCAAACTGCAGTTGCTGTTTTGATGAAGCAATATTTAATGGTGTTGTTCAATGACATTATTTCATGCTGGCTTTTATTAAAGACGAAAAAATTAACATTTATTAAAAAACAAATTAAAAATGTTTTAAAGAATAGAACTATGCACAACACTAAAAAAAAAAAAAAAAAACAAATTGAAATATAAACAAATTGTGTTTATAACAGTATGTTTTGTCTTGGCTTTTAGTGAATGATTAGAAACAGTAAGCTCCATGAATAGAACTACCAATTAATCATTTTTAACGATAGACACCAACGGGAAGGTAAGCCAACTGTCTATCAACACAAATCATCACAACAATATTACAACGATAACGCACAACAAAAGCATATAAGATATTTATAAGTACACATTACACTTGCTCTTTACAATGGCAAAGTCAAACCACTTTGAAACCACTGCATAAAATAGACAAAGAAACAAACTATAAACATATCGTCACGATCATAGCACAATCGTCTAAGTCATTTTGTTCTTGTTTTGAGAAAACTAAAAAAAAAAATGAATAACTTCGGTAATTCTTTTGCTACGTCACTTTGGCTTATTTTTGGCATCTTTTTACTTAGATGCTTTCATATATTGCTTTAGAAGTGATATGTGTATTACCGTTGAGACACAATAGGATATAGGTCAAAAGCAATAAGATATAAGTAAAAATGCGGATTTAAGCAGAAGTGAAAAAACTAAAAATCAACTCCTTTCTGATTGGTTTAAGGCAATTTACCACATTATTAGACTGTTTAAGCTATATATTTCAACTCTTAAATTCCGAAAAACCCCCAAAAAATGACTTAGGCAATTGTGCTATGATCGTGACGATATAACATTATAAAACATATTAACACATTTAACACATTACATATTTGTATGTACATATGATGCTTAATATTAATAGACATTACGTGTTTCCTGAATAATTAAAAAAGGCTAGACAACACAACCTAGCCACAACAAAGCAGTAACACCACTTGGCACTAAACGCTGCCAAGTCACACCTCTGCTTTAAGTACACCGCTTGGCTGGCAAGGTTAACTATCTTGCTCGACACGTCTGCCAAGTCACACCACTTTGAAAACATGGAAACAACGTAATATAAACATATATACACAAACTATAAAAACATATACACAAACCCTAAACACATAACCTTGATAACACATATAGCCCAAGTATTACATGAACAATTTAAATAACAACTAACACATAACATAAATATAACACTTACATAACACCTATAACAATTATAAACATGTATAAAGACAAATATAATTACTAAAACAATATAAAATAAAACTATGAAAAAAAGTGAAAATTATAACAAAAATCTCATAATTATAAATTAAGAACATTAGAAAATACAACATTATTTGTATAACACTTTTCACCTATCATACCTTGAATGGGATGTTTATCAATTTAAAAAAATAAACTATTAAATGTTCTAGTTCTTGAACATGCAACATAAAGTTGACCATAAGTGAAACACGGTTTCTTTAGATATACACCAACTCTATCAAATGTTTGACCTTGACTTTTATTAATTGTCATTGAATATGCCAATCTGACAGGAAACTGGCGACGTTTTAGAACAAAAGGTAAATTAGAATCTGAAGGAGCCAACTGAATTCGAGGTACAAATACCCGTTTACCAGCAGAAACACCTGTCAAAACCTCTGCATCAATATAATTATTTTGAAGAGCACAAACTTTCATTCGAGTGCCATTGCATAACCCATCTTTGAGATCTAAATTTCTAAGTAACATAATTATACAACCAATTTTAAACTTTAAAGAATGAGGTGGCATACCTGAGGGAGTTAAGCTATTTAAAAACTCAACAGGAAAGTTATTTCTTTCATTAAGATTGTCTGTCTCAACTTGCAAAAGTAACAGCGTAAGAAAAAATAATTCTCCAGTTGGATTAACTTTATACATTCTTACTATCGCCTTATTACCACCTCTTTGTCTAACCTTCCATTTACAAAGCTTATCATCAAACATAAAATGATAAGGAATGTCTACATATGAATAGCAATGTGCTCTTTCATTTTCAGAATTTAACTTAAACCATGCTGTAAGGTGTGTATCACGTTGAGCTGCACGATCTAAAGCCATTTGTTCTGCTCCTTCTCTAAAATACACTAATTGATTCTCAGGAAGATGAACTTTAAGGCGGATAATAGTGTGTGACATATGACTTATGGGATACTCAAAAATTCGCCACAATGCTTCAGGTGCACTAACATAACAACAGTCTAAAAAAGTGTTTACTTCATCATGATTAATTTGTTCATTTATCAAAATATTGGCACAGTCGTGACTCTTGTATATGTATTTGTACAAATATTTAACAGCCTTAACAGACATGCAAGCTTCAACATTAATGTGGGCTTAATATTTCTTTGATAACCATGGATTGTAAGGTACCACCCAGCGGTTATCTACATTGTTGCCTTTAATATTGATAACAAAACCATTATCACGACGCCTATAGCGAGGATAACCATTATGAACTACTACTGTGTTGGCATTAAATTCTTTAGGATAATTTTTGCTGCACACCCCATCTTTCATGCAGGTAGAATTTGGGTTCAGTATGCCACATGGGCCATGAATCATGTAAGTTTTAATAACATCATAAAGTTCACGATTTATAATTGGATCTGGAATTTCAGCACATATTAAACTATTGATATCCTGTGCCGTCTCCAGCTTGTCATCAGTGGCAAAGTGAAGTAAAATATGAACATGTGGTAAACCACGCTTTTGAAATTCGATAACATGAACATGGGTTACGACTTTCCCTAATACACCATGCTTAAAAATATCATTTAGGAGATTATTTAATTTGAGTTTAAATACTCGTGTAACTAAATCAGGTCTATCATTTGCAGTTTGACCTGGATATAAATTTTCAGTTATCTCGCGCCATTTTTGGTTGCAGGTAAAAGTAATAAAAAGATCTGGTTTACCATACTTTTCAATTATAGCCATAGCATCTTCAAAGTTTTCTTTTAAAGCTCTAGGACTTCCTACATAAGTAGATGACAAAACTACAATGCGCCCTACTCTAACATTATGATCGTTTCCAAGGTTGTCTACATGTTCATGTAAGGCATCATACTGCTCGCTTCTAAGTTTGTTTTGGTTATTTCTGATAAAAGCAAGGCGCTGGCCTTCAATTTTGACATATGCATCAACAGCATATTGGTGAAATAGTTTCTTGCCATAAAAGATTTAAGAAAAAATTTGTCTAACCGAAAGTCTATAATTGTAATACTGAGATAATGTAACATGATTTCTAACCAATGTAGCACGTTCAGGGTTGTGAACCAATTGATTATGCCAACCAGCATCACCCCTTGGGAAAAATAGAGGATAAACCATAGGATCTAAGTTGGCAGACATACTTGATATAGTTTTAAGAGGATGACCTCTCGGGTAAATAACAACTTCTCTGGAAGCAGGAGGAGAACCATCTTCACCAACAAATACAACTGCAACTTCATTATGTGAAGGGAGATTATAGCGACGTCTATCTTGCCCTTCAAGTAAAGACATTTTTACAACTGAGACTGAGCGACCTTCTATAGCTGCTTGGCAAATTTCTTCATCTTCCACTTCAGCCATGTTTTTAAATGCGAGGGCAAATGGGTTCTCCTCGCTAATAACAGTTTGCAACCGAAACATTAAATCATTTAAGCAAAGATCATTACCAGGTTGTCGCATTCTAAAATTTATTGATGCAAGTGGATCATAAATGTATAGTTGACAATATGTTGGAGGAATATCTTGATCTGGCCTAAGATTACCAACACGATGAAAAACCTGACCACATATTCTAAAACATGGCGGCCCATGATTCATTGGTTGAACTACATTAGCGGTAAATTTCGAATATATTTTAGAAAATTCACATTGGCATTTCGATCTACATAACTTCCTGTAAATAAATCTTGTAAATCTTGCGGAAATGGTGAAAGTTGAGACAAAACTACCTTTCCATTATGGCAACATAAAAAATGTGTTTCATCAGGAAATTTTTTAGCACCACAATGCTGACAAATATGATTCATTTCTCCTAAATAATTATAATCTGGAATAGTATTACTTCTTGCTATACAATGCATTCTTTCAAGCCTACCAGCATATCTAGCATTCTGCTGATTATTAATTTCATCTCGCCTCAGCCTATTTCTTGCATTTCTGCGACGATTATTATCAACTTGCCTAATGACGTTGTCGTCATTTTGATTCAAATTATTAGCGGCTTGCCGAGCAGCATATCTAGCATTCTGTTGATTATTAATTTCATCTCGCCTCAGCCTATTTCTTGCATTTCTGCGACGATTATTATCAACTTGCCTAATGACATTGTCCTCATTTTGATTCAAATTATTAGCAGCTTGCCGAGCAGCATATCTAATATTTTGAAGATGATTAATTTCATCTCGCCTCAGCCTATTTCTGGCATTTCTGCGACGATTATTTTCAAATTGCCTATTAACATTGTCCTCATTTTGATTCAAATTATTTGCGGCTTGCCGAACAGCATATCTAGCATTCTGTTGATTATTAATTTCATCTCGCCTCAGCCTATTTCTGGCATTTCTGCGACGATTATTTTCAACTTGCCTATTAACATTTTCATCATTTTCATCCATTTAAATTTTACTTTTAATTGATAATAGTAACAAAAAAACTTGAATTAATCGAGAAGATTGTGATCTTTTTTTTTTTACTACTCTAAATTGCACATACAAATTATTTTTAAAAATGACAGGAAATTTTTATTTAAAATAAACTAAATTATACAACAATCTTGTGCATTTTTTATAAAATAATAATCTAATTAAAAAAATAACGAATAAGATTAAAAAATAATGAATAATAAAATTTGAATAATAAATTTTAATAATAAAAGTGCTGCTTAAACAAAAAATAGAAAAAATTAAAAAATAAAGTATTTGTAAACCCTTTTTGTAAACTTCAAATTATTTCTATAAAAAAATTGTTTAAAAAATATTAAAATAATTTAACCTTCACAAACAATGAAATGACTGTTCAAAAGTTGTAGTTTAATTTAATTTTCTAAATTCTAAAGAAAAGAACAAAAATCTAAAAGCATCATTGAAATGTCAATAATATAATAAGCAACATGACAAAATTCAAATTCAATATATAAAAGATTATTTATCTGTTTTTCTTTTTTCTTATTACTTACTTTTTTTTTCTTTATTATTAAAACTATCTATTTTACATATTAAAATATCTATATTAGATAAAAATTAGAAGATTAAATTTATTAAAGCTTAACATAAGTTAAAAGCAGTTATAAACACTAAACTATTAAATTCGAAACAATGAAAAGAAATAAAATCTGGTGAAAATCAACAAATTATAAACTTTAAAAAATTAGAAATTTACATGTGGTTTTTTTTACAGTTAATTATCTACTATAGTACATTTTTCTGATTTAACTGATATGATATATATTGGGGACAATTACAGTCATGTTATATTGTGAACCAAAAATTAAATGTCTAGTCAAAAATTAATAGTCTAAACAAATACTACAAAAATAAAAACAAACAAAATTAAAATTATATATTTATTTCTTTGAGAATAAAACACCAAGGAAAAAACAGCAACAAAAAAATTGTAAATATCTTCACTGATTGAAGATATTTAAAATTTTTTTGTTGCTGTTTTTTCCTTGGTGCCTCCCAGCACCCCTGTATGGATGAGCTCTCCATTTAAATGAGGGCTCATCCATACCATTATTAAGGCACCATTTGTTAAAGGACCTCTCAGCAAGAGGTCCTGGGTGCTGGGAGCGATAAAGCCTGTAGCTGCTCCAATTTAGATCTAAAGAAATAAAAAATAATATAATAAAAAAAATTGATATAATAAAAAAAATTGATATTTGCATTTAAAATAATAATAAGATAAAAGCATAACTCTACCGGTTGCAGCAGTGCCAGACAATGCTAAAGAAATAGAAGGAAAAAAAAAGTAGAATAAAGTAAAAACTGAACATGTTGGTATTTGTGTTTTGAATAAAATTGCGATTTGAAAAAAAACGCATAAAAATATAAAACATAATCCTACCAACTGTAGTAGCACCAGATGACGATGCTAAAGAAATGGAAAAAATAAAATAAAAACCAAACATGTTCATATTTGTATTTTGAATAAAATTGCAATTTGAAAAAAAAATGCATAAAAATATAAAACATAATCCTACCAATTGTTGTAGTACCAGATGACGATGCTAAAAAAATTAAATAAAAACTGAACATGTCGATATTTGTATTTCGATTAAAAAATAAAGCATAACCTTACCAATTGTAGTAGTACCAGATGTCAGCGCTAAAGAAATAAAAAATAAAATAAAAGTAGGGTAAAATAAAAGTAGGATAAATAAAAACTGAACATGTTAATTTTTGTACTTTAATAAAAATATCAAGCATAACCCTACCAATTGTAGTAGTACTACCAGATGTCAATGCTAAAGAAAGGGAAAATAAAATAAAAGTTAGATAAAGTAAAAACTGAACATCTTAATATTTCCATTTTTATAAAAATATAAAGCATAACCCAACCAGTTGTAGTAGTATCAGATGGTGATGCTAAAGAAATGGAGGAGAAAAACAAAAGTAGAATAAAATAAAAACCAATCAGGTTGATATTTGTATTTTAATCTAAATATAAAGCATACCCTTACCAATTGTAGTAGTACCAGATGTCACTGCTAAAAAATAGAAAATAAAATAAAAGTAGGGTAAAATAGAAACTGAATATGTTAATTTTTGTACTTAAATAAAATTATCAAGCATAACCCTACCAGTTGCAGTCATATCAGATGATGATGCTAAAAAAAATGAAAAAAATATAAACTAAACATGTTGATACTTGTATTTTATTTAAATATAAAGTATAACCCTACATGTTGAAGTAGTACCAGAGAACGATGCTGAAAAAAAGAGGGAAAAAAGAAGAAGAGTAGAATAGAAAAAAAAAACAACAACAAAAAAAAACAAATGTAATATTTGTATTTTAATAATCTACAATATAATTGCAAAAAAATAAAAAGCATAACCCTACCAGTTGTCACAGAGTTAGACACTAATAATGACACTTAAAAAAAAATTAATGTTAAAAATTATAAAACATATAATAGTTAATAATAAAAAGTATGTATGTATCTAAATATAATTTTTACCTGTTTTCCTCATTTCTTCCATAAAATCATCTAAAACAAAAAAAAACTTGAAAATTTTATAAAAAAGACATAAAAAAAAAATCAATCAAATCAGTAATTTGAAAAAATATCTTTAAATTAGGATAAATTAACAATGTTGAGTTAAATTTAAGGCTCTATCACTACTCTGTGTGTGTGTGTGTGTGTGTGTGTGTGTGTGTGTGTATATTTATATATATATACATATATATATAAATTATCAATTGGTTAAATTATAAAATAATTTATACCTAGTCTAAGTTTCAATTTTCCTATAAAGTAAAAAGCGAGTTAAAAGTAAACAGTACAAATTATTAAATTCTAATAACAAATATTTAATGACAAAAATACTGACTGTATTTCTTTAGTGCTTTGTTTAAACAATAAATTTAAATACACTTTTGTTAAAATCTTTTAAAGACCTATATTTATAAAAATTCAATAATTTTAAAAACAAAATTAATTGCTAATTGGCTAACTAACAATTATACCTTTATCAGGTCGCTTATGATAAACTAAACAAATTATATATACAATTACATCTTGTTTTAGACAGAAGTTATCATTAACGCATATATTTAGTTCTACTAAAATAGTTACAAAATTTAAAACTTACTTTCATCTTCCCCATCATTGTCAACTAAATGAAAATTCAACTCCAAAAATACTCTACTATATACTACTAATATTTTAAATTCTACTTAAATATTTAAAAAATCAACACTTATCTTCAGTTTCATCTCCGTGGTTAACTAAATAGAATTTACAATAATAATAATATAAATCAAAATATAAATGAAAAAATAATAAATTATACTTAAATATTTAAAAAATCAACACTTACCTTCAGTTTCATCTCCGTGGTTAACTTAATAAAAATAAATATTATTTACAATAATAATATAAATCAAAATATAAATGAAAAAATAATAAATTATAGTAAACCAAAAAAAACAAAAAATCAAAGTTACAAATTAAATAAACAGAAAAAAAAATCGGCGGACTTGTATACGACGCACCCCCTTAAGTTTAAAACACGTTTTATTGAAAATGCTATTTTACTGACCAAGTAAAATTAATTAATTTAATTATTTAAAGTGTAATTACCTCAAATGATCATAAGTGATGAATAGAATTAAATGTAAATGCTTTGACTAATAAATAGGGATTACCACAACGAAATATACATTTATTATTTGAACGTAAGAATTGGGACAGTTTTGGTCACAATTATTAATATTTCATAGTGGGTGCGTCGTGTACAAGTCCGCCATAAAATCTTCATACTTGATAATGTACTTAAAATGTAACTTAAATTATTATTATTATTATGATTATTAATAAGTCTTATATCTTTTAAATCGTTCAAATAGTTTTCACATAGTTTAAATTTTTCCTTACAATAAGACTCCTTTGATGTTAAACAAATAAAATGTTTTGAAAAAGATTAAAATAAAAACTTTACCGTTCATTTTTCTTTTTTGCTAATCTATAATTTTTGCTAATCTATAATAATTAAATTAATAAAATTAAATAAAACCTATAAAGTAAAAATAAGATTTTTACTTTACTTTTATAACAACATAACAACGTTCTAAATTAAAAAATTGCAAAATTCAACTTAAGTAAACATGTAAATTGAAACTATATAAAAATGATTTCCCTAAAAAGTTAAGAGAAGTTCGTCAGGTCTGGCTCGGTAGACCTTTTGGGTGGACCGCATGTACTTAAAAAACGCGCTCTAAAAAAAGCCTAGAATCTACTTAAAGAAACATTAAACGATGACGTAACGCGACATTGAACATTGAACATTGAATTTTTACAGTATTTATATTTAGAGATACCAGTATATACCAGTAACAATAAAATTAAATTATTCTGAAATATACCAGTAATAATAAAATTTAAAAAAAAATTTCAATGAAACGTTTTGTTTTTCTCGCTTAGGATATTTATTTTTCTATTATTCATATATAGTTTCATAATTGCCAAGTTATACTTTAAATAATATTCGTTTTTACTTCCAAATTGATGTTTTTCTACCAAAAAATGACAAAGGCCTATGAATTACTTTAAGGCATCGTTGAATAAAATATACCTTTACTATCTTCAACTATGCAACTTTATTTTGTAACAGCTCTATCTACGGTATAAAACATTAATTTTATTTCGATTTACTAAAAGTTTATAAATTATTTTTTAATGTTTCTTATAGATCATAACCATAGTGGTATTATTTTAAGGAAATTGCATTAATGATTAATGCAAACCGTTAATACATTCAACCGTGAACTTTACTGCAATATCTAAAATGATTGTATAAGTAAGTTTTTTAAAGTTTCTTATGGATTTACATAACGTTTGTAATGTTTTATAATAGATATTTTAAAGTTATGGTATTGAATTTTTAGTTGACTTACTTGTATGGAATGTTTTTGTTGTACAGAGAACTTTTTACATATTGCAACACAGAGCTTTTTTCGGCACCTAGTGCTTTTTTCGTTAAAGATGGTTCTATATTTACAGTCGTAATTTCTTTAAAATTTCAAAAGAGAAAAAAAAAAAAAAACTTATTTTAACAACTCCAAAACAAATGTATTTTTTTAAGTGACATTCCTACCTTCATCTAAATCGCATTCAACAAATTTCTCAAGATGACATCTTTTGTGAGTTCCTTTCAATGGAACTTTATTATTTTTATTTTATTTGAAATTACCACCACTTGTTATACAACATACATAATAAGGTCCTTGAAACGGCGGCTTAAAAGCAGCTCCTTTGTTTCTTCTTCCTCTTATGTCACTTTGTCGCCAACCTTAATAGATTCTTTTTCTATTTAAATATTTTTTAAAGTTCTTTCATCATAATATTTTTTTTTTTGCTTGATTTGATCTTCTTTGATATTCTAAATATGATGTGGTATTAAAACTTATTAGTAAAACTTATAGCTTTTTAATAAATAACTACTGCAAATTAAATCAAAGAATTGAAGCGTCTTACCTTAGTAACTAAGTTAGTTAAGTTTTCGATTTGGGTCTTTCTCTTCTTTACTTCTGCTTTTACTTCTTCTTCATCAACTTTAATAAAGTCTACCTCCTAAATTACAAATCCCTTTTGATTTTTATGATAACTATGAACAATTAATGGTATCTTATAATTTTAGATATAATAGTTTATAATACTATTCTTTCAGTTCACTATTACAAACAGGTGGGCGAAAACATTAACTCACAGGGTGACACTTTTGTCGACGTTTGCCTTTCTATCCTTAGTGGGTACAAAACTATATCGATAAACTCATTCCAGTTTGTTTAGTTATCGTCAACTAACTTTCGGATTTTTCTAATAAAACAAAATTTCAAATAATTTCAATAAAGTCGTTGTTTGAAATAAACTTAAAATAATTTTAAGTTATCTCTTTATGTAGGAGAAGAAGGCAAATAAGGAAACCTCGTGCATCTTTTTTAATCTTAGTTTAACTTTTTTTGTCGG